CTTTCTTTTTGCAGGCGTGCTGCAAAGGTAAGAAGGAGATGGTAAGTATTTTGCATTGATATTATTGGAAAGTATTCTGAGCCTGGTCGGTAGAACTTATATACATGTATCTGGTTTACTGCTGCTTTATTTGCCAGCCGACGTATCCTGGAACATATACTAGTATCTTGCCTGCTGTGGAAGGGAAATAAATGGTCAGCGTGTTCTTTCTTCCCAAGAAAAAGGAATGCTGCTCAGCTCACCTGGCTTGCTTCAAAGTCTTGCCCTTGGCGATGCCGTGCCCACTGCTCCCAAGATGTACTGTATCTGGCAAGGGAAGCTGCTTGACAAATGGCGCTCTGCTCATCTCCCCTGCTTTTCAACCATACATACCCCATGGATGCTTGCTTACAAGGAGGCGTATTATCTGCTGGAAGGTTGTCTGTCACTGTCTGTTTTCTGCGATTCAGAAGGTCTTTTTTTGGGGCTGAAAAGGTAGGGATTGGCCCCTATTTTAGGGGCCCCTGCTGGAGATGCTCTTAGTACTGAACTGCCGCACATCATGGTTGATGCTTCATGTGATAGACAGATTGATGCTACTGGTATCTATCTTGATTTTGGTAACGGGTAGTCTGAATCTTATATCTAACGTCTGAACGTGGTAGCTCACAGTCTGAATTTTGTGCTTGCCGATGCATTCACGTCAGCTCATCTTGTGCAGCCACTGCTTGGAAGGGTACTTGACACTTCTTCTAGCCCTCTAGGAAGGAGTGGCAAAATAAGTTAACTGGACTTTTTAATCTGTATGTATACCTTGTGCCTCCTTGCATCCTTGCTGCTTTGAAAAAATTCAGACAATCTTTGCTCCCATCATTGTTGTTCAACCCTTTTCAGGGTGCAAGCATGCAGACTCATAAGAAAATTCTATCACCTAATGCTTGGTATGAGGTGTTATCCGAAGCAAATTATGTGCTCCTCCCAAAGACGTCTCCTGGTCAGAAGGTCCGTGCTATATGCCATAGGTGTGTCGGCACCGGAAATGGGTGGCGGCGGCGACGCGGCAGAGGTGGGCGAGGGTTTGCTGTTGGTCTTGGGGTGAGAGAGGATGGCCAATGTGTCACCGACTAGCGGGCCTTCATGTCCACGCCGACGCAAATGAGGCTCAAAATTGGGCCGGGAATGGGTCGGCAGGCGGACGAAAAGCGTTTGGGTCGGCGCGTTGGACCCAAACGGAACGGACGCGCGTGGACGAAATGGGTCGGCGCGTTGGAGTTGCTCTTACTTGCTGCTGAACTGTTTATACATGGGAAACTTGCCTCACTAGTCACTAGTGATGGAACTGTAAGTGCCTCGCCCTGGTCGATCTTTTACCTATTTCAGTAACTAATCTCAGGTGCGAGTGATTGGAGAAGGTTTAGACGCTGTTGATCAGTTGAGGGCAACGAAAGGAACACGGTTCCCGCCAACAACGGCACACACCTACTCAATGACTCCGGCAGTTGCTGTGCTTAAAACACTGCATAAGGCTCATTCAGGTAAGTAGGCCCCGCTGAACTGCAGGAGCTAGCTACACTACTCCATGTTGTTTCAGAGTAGGAAGATAAACACATTGATTTTTTTTCGACAAAGAGATAAACACATTGGTTAGGCTAGCAGAAGCGTAGCCTGCAGCAGCTTGATGTGTATCTAAAGCACGTCGCTCGCACCTAAATTACCGCGTGCTAGAGGCAAGATACAGACTGGCAGAACTGAAATCGGTCATTCTTCCTTCAATACAGTACAGAATCATAATAATCGTGGGAGGGAGATTTGTAAGACCTTGTTGTTGGCTTCATTGGGTGATGGGAAGGCGTTGCTTGGCAAATGGTACTATGCTCATCTCCCCTGCTTATACTGTAAGGTTGTTTGTCACTACCTCTGTTGATTATTGCCGCAAGTCTATGTATTTGAACATGTGCTACATTAAGGTCTTCTTGTTTTCTTTCTTTGATTTCCCCGACTGTTTTTTCGTTTTTTCTTTCTTTAATCTCGGCCATTAGACATGATGGCAAACCACTGAGTCAATTAGGACTGTCAGATTTAACTATACGGGTTAGATCCTAAGGTACTGGTTGATCCGTGTACATCAAGTTGGTGACTCTAGAGAAATTTATATTTGCTCTTTTAATAGTAGTGGAGATAAGAACACAACGTCATGACTATTATGTGTGTGGGGGGTGGGGGCTCTTGCCCCCTCCCCGCCTCGTGCTTCACCATGTGTTTATTTATTCAATATCTGTTTATGGTTGATTACATGTGTGGGGGCCGGACTTGATGGAAATCACCCCGGCGTTGGAGCTGTAGGCGGGCTCCAGCCCCCGGCCTCCGTCGCCACCGACGACCGCTCCCCAGGTACCTCCCGCGTCCATCCCTCTTCCTCCTCCTCCTCCTCTCCTCTCCCCCGACCAATGAGAGGAGCAGCCGCGCGCGCACGCGGGACCTGCCGCCGGTCTCGCATTCCCCCGCTCCCCACCCTCTGCTCCGATGCGGGTTTTGCGAGGGTGAAATTAATAAATTTCGCACTCCAATCCCATGTACAGACCCCATGTGGGAGAGGCCGACGCACGCGAGAATCCTCGTCTGCGACGACGACGCCGGCCGCATCATCGGCAAGGCCGGCTCCTCCATCGCTGCCATGGAGGCCAGCTCGGGAGCACACATCAAGCTCTCCGGCAGGGACCAGCTCCTCCACGGCACCGACCGCCGCGTCGTCTTCGTCACCGGACCCTTCCGTGCCATCATGGACGCCGCCGAGCTCGTCCTCGACAAGATCCTCTACCGGGTAAACTAGGTAGTCAAAATCTTCAGGCCCCTCCTCTGTACTGTACAAAAAAACTCAAGAACCACCACCGGTTTATGTCGAATGTGACCATAGAAGAGCAAACTCAAGAACCAACTGTGTTTATGTCGAATGTGACCATAGAAGAGCAAACTCAAGAACCAACTGTGTCTATGTCGAATGTGACCATAGAAGAGCAAACTCAAGAACCACCACAGGTTTTTGATTTTTGGCGAGAAACATAGTCTTTCCGAGCTTCTCAAGGTATGTACTATGGTCCATATAGTGTGTATTATGTATGCTCCTTTATGCAAAACTTAGACTTAATTGAGAATTTTATGCAAAAGTGTGTACTATGGTCCATAGTGATCTATTTCTATGTGATATTGGTAACTAGTTAGAACGCCCACATGT